AGTGGATTCTCCTTGCTATAAAAGTACGTCGAAATTAGATTTCGATCAACTACATTATGAATGTACTAATTTCGCAGCCGGATCTTAGACTATTAGAATAATTATACAGAACTATCTCGCAACTGGACATACACAAATATGGGCTAAAACTATAATAAATATCCTGAAAAGCAAATTAACTTACCAACACTCCAATTTTGGGTACACATCAGAACTTTTGACTCAAGTCAATGCCGCGATTCAATATACAAAAAAAGACGTAATTTAAACTGTGGAGATCCTGAGCTGGAGCTGCTACTGGAAATCTTTTACAGGGGGGGGCTCTCCTATGGGGAGGTTCCTTTCCAACCTTGCACATGATTGCAGTTCGAAACAAATTGTCGACATAATTAAACAAAGTTTTATGTACAGGATGTTATTTAAATAATTAATTAAAATTGGAAAAAATGTGAATTTATACGAAGCGTGACAATATTGTAATTTTGAAAAACAAATCATAAATAAAATATTCCATGCGGGAGTATGCTGACCCCAGGCTTCAATTTGTAGTCCTAAAAAACAATTCATAAATATAACATTTCATGGAAGTACCCCATTTTTCAAGTTGTAATCTTGAAAAATAATTCATAAATGAAATAATCCATGCGAGAGTATGCTGACTCCATGCTTTAATTTGTAATCTTGAAAAACAATTCATAAATATTTCATGGGAGTATGCTGACCCCATCTTTCAAGGCATTTTATTCGCCCTTGAGACTTAAAATATAGCAATAAACATGGGTGTATGCTGACCCCACCTTTAAAGGCTTATCACTTCATCCTTCATATATAAAATATTAAACATGGAAGTATGCTGACTGCATGTTTCAAGGCTTATTATTTCATCCCTGCAACAATAAAAATAAAAACAGTCAAAACAAAACATTTAAGGTTTGTTCCAACACAATAGTAAATCGGTTTACGTACTGTCGGGATTCTGCGCAGTCTGGATTTGGACTCAAAACTGTACATAAACCGAGTGTTCCAACACATCCAAAACTAATCACAAACCAGTTTCTGTACTGTCAAATCAGTTCCTGGGTCTGAATATGAACGAATTGTCAAGACGTGCAAAACGAAATTAAGCTCGTCAATAAACTACGACCAACTCTGGAAATTTTGTGATTATATTTGTTTTGATAGTATAGATTTTAATCTCGATCCAAGGATTATATACTTTTATCGATTGTAATTTCGGTTTTATTTATTATAATAATTACTTATAGTCTCCCGGCAAACATTTTCTATAACATTAGTTACAACTCGACTTTGTTAAAGACGAATTCACTTATTGAGGTAATTATTACGTAAAATTGACTAGAAAAATATACCTCTAATGTAAATTTACCAAACGGTTTTAATTTATATTTAAATTTACGTAAATTATTCCACAAATCTGCTTAAAAGTAACTTTTAACCATATCAATAAGGGAAAAACTACTAAAAAAAATAACCAACAATTACTTCAAAGTTAAATTTCCTTTGTAGTAAAATTAGGTGCCATATTTAGGTAATATCTACCTGTTTGGCAACTAAAAATCGTCTTTATAGTAGAATATCCAACTAGGTAGATTTGGTTAAAAATTCTACGTAATTTTATGCCTCCATAGTAACCTATTTGGCCGCTTTTATTTACTCTCCTTTAAAGTAATATTAGGTCGAGATCGTAGCAAAATTCTACCTGTTTATCTACCTATAATTTCAACCAAATAGTCGAATACTCACTTAGTTGACCTATAAGTCATCTTGAAGAAATATTTATTAACTTTGTTGTAGCAATTACCTGAAAAATCTACCACAAAGTAAATTCGACTAAAAACCACCAATTTAAAAAGAGTCATACATGACCTGTTTGTAAAATTTATATTTAGGTTATTTTAACAATTAGGTTGTTCAGTTACTGTCTTCGTCATTATTCTTAAGAATTTCGGCCATTTTAAAAAAACCATTACAGTCGTAATCTTAATTTACGTGTGGTGTAGATAGAGCTTTAAATGAGTGCGAAAAATAATTAATAAAATGAGTTCGAAAAATAATAAATCATATCGTTATACTTCCGATTTTTATCGTAAAGTGAAACGTCTAAAATCTCAAGTGCAGAACAACGTGACCTAAATATGTTATATTTACCTATAGGTAAATTGTTTATAAAACCTATAAGTTATTATTTCTTTAAATAGGTAAAGTTAACTAATATGTCGTGAAATTGAAGTTAATTCAACTTAGTAAAAAGGTATTTGTAAAATACGTAGATTCCCTTAGTCATAATAACTTTTAGGTCGAATTCGCACAATACGCCATATTTTCTTAACGTAATTGAAGTAGGATTCCAAATTTTAAATTTTTAAAATGACCATAACTAGAATATACGAATGAAAATACCGAAAAACGAAACATTATTGATTTTCTAAAGTGATACACAACAAACGTAACATACTTTTAGCTTATAATATTATTATTATTTTTTACACGATCATATTTTTTTCTTATATTTTTTTAATTAAAGAGTATTTTGGGAGGGCATTGTTATTTTTCTAAGTAGAACTTTTAACATGCACGACAAAATTTTCTTCGCATTAATTTCAACAAGCGTGAACTGTATATTCACCGCAATTACATTACATATATGTTTGTCAACGACATTTTTTTATTTTCAATCTTTCATGTGAATTAGGTATATGTTTTAGTTGTGTTGGTGACTTCTTACAATATTTCTACTTAAATATAGATAAAAATACCAAATAAGTATAAAATTTCTTTTCGTACACTTGGAGGCATACGTCATCTGCAAATATTTTGGTAGTTTCTACCTAAACTTAGTTAAATCAACGTCGAATTAACGTTATACTAACGTCAAATTTCCCTAGAGAGGTATTACTAACCAAACGTACTGGGCTACTACAATGTGGATTTAGATGTAATTCTACCTATTTTGGTAAATATAACCAAATTTAATAATGAGTAATTTAACATTTTTTAAATTTGACGTTATTGACAAAGTGTGTCTGACAACAGAAAAATGTATTCCAACATATCCAAGTTCCGAATTCAGTCCCAATCCTCGACAGGTCGTGGGCAGGTCGTCGACTATAAGTGGTCGACAATATGTTGTGGACTGGTTTATGTATAGTTCCAAGATTGTTGTTGGAACAAACCTTTACTTTACCTTCAGTTTCAAAAAAATTGATAAAGTCTTGCAAATCAGTCGCTAATGATCACCCGCTCGGCCAAAGCTTGACTTGTTTAACATTTTTTGGAGACGAAATTTTTGTCAACGCCTTTATTTTTCCCTACTCCAATCTAATATCTTCGGTGGAAATCTCCCATCCAAGAAAATCAATTTTGTGGAAACATTTTTAAATATTTAGGAAAACCCTGCTGTTTCTAAGGCTTCTAAAATTTGCTCTAAATAAATCGAACCTTGTGAAACAGTTTTGCTAAGAGTCGACATGGCAATAAAATTATTAATTAAATTAATTTCCATAGCACAGTTGTTTACTGCAGAAACAAAAACTAGTACACCATAAATTGCAGTATTTTTTTTAAATTTTTATTTTAATTATTTGACATAATTTATTTCGATATTCTTCAGGTACATTTAATTGATTTAAACTAATTCCAAAATTCACGGAAATTCTTAAAACACCCAGTAACTGTTGCTTCATAGTACGTACGTGTAAAAAAACACTATATTTTCAACAAATTAATGTATTTCTAAAATTAAACACAAAACATATAAAATCGACATTCCATTGAGACAGCCGAACTAAGAGTGCCCCCTTATTTTTCAGGCCATTTTGCCCTAGGAACTTGAAACATTCCCAACATAATAAATATGAGTCTCAGGCTAATAAATAACATATTTTAATGCCTTCGCCGTCACTCCGTTGAGAGACAGGTACGTCGTTCGGTATATACGTTTCGACTAAATACCATCGATCCAACGCTATCCAATTTGAAAGTCTTACATACGCATCATTACAATTAGTAACATAAACATTAAACGTATACCTAGACTAGGCTGGATTGCGCGTAACTTTTAGCATCTGATCCATACTTCAATAAATGTTAGAGAGTATTTTCTGTCAAAACTATGAATTTCCGAACAATTCCTGATTAGTCATTGATGATTCAAGCCAGGTTTCCGTCAAGGCAACAACAGTAAAGCTATCAGGGGCATAGTCAATGAATATCAGATTTAGAATCCCACCTCGTTTACAGAATATTTTAAATTCTTCCATTTTTTTTTGTTTTTTGTTCGCGACCACAACTTTTGCAGCACATGTACTTACTACCCATAATAATACTCTCCCTAATTTACCCCCTTACGAGTGAATTTCAACCCCTGAAGTCGACTGAACGACTTGTGTAGGGGAAGGGACGGCTATTATTATTATTATTATTATTATTTGCCGTGGCGCTCCGGGGCGACTTAAAGATAATTGATGGTGCCATTTGACTTACAGGTGAGGAAAACCCGAAAAACCTCACCCACCATCATCGAGACGGTAATGCATGGCGATTTTTTAATCTGCATGTCATATCAACAGAAATTGAATTTCTATTAATACGGCACACATCAAATCCTAAACCTAACCATGCAATTTAATTTAAAATCCACATGGTCTGGTCTGGGATTCGAATCCCAGCAGTCTCAGACTCATAAACTTGCCTATAAATGAATATAAGCGCGTTAGACCGCTACACTACCGACCCGCATATTCTGACAAATTATCCACGCTGTTTGTAGATCGTTTTGACTTTGACTTGTCTGTAACTTGTTGTGTACTAATGATAAGTGCTCCAGGAAGGCTGAACGTTTTGTCAAAATTCCTGATTTTTGGCTCCGCGAACGCTTAAAATTGAAATGCGCATGCTCATTTCTCGACGAAGCTATTGTCTTTGTTTTATTTTACATTCGTATGACTATGTATATTTAAGGCTTTATTCTTTATTTTTAGGTATCTGAATGATCATAAGGAATGGTACGGTGAACAACACTACATCGATGCTTTTTAAAGTAGAATTTTTTTTATTAACCTATAGTTATTTGTATACTAAGGCCGCAAAGTTGATATTTTTTGACCCAATCAGCAGTTTGCGCCTGAGGCCAAGCAATTTCTGGTTATGTCAAAAAAGATCGTGCGACCGAGGTGTACACAGCATTTTTAGGCGATTGACTCATCAAGTAAAATCAATATTTTTTTACATTCTTCTCTCTGAAAAATGCAAGTATAGTTTCAAATTTGTATTGATCGAAAAAAAAACCGCTATTGTTAAGTAATGATATTTGTACAGAATTACTAACGATAAGTACAATAAACTTGTGTTTATAAAAAGCGGACGTAAAGTAAATACGGCCAAAAAAGCTATACTGCAGAAATGTTAATGTGATATTTAATTTTTTGTGACAGTCGCCTAAAAAATATTTTATTGTGATACTATTCCTCAATTATTTATTATTTAGTTAAGATACAGGTCAACAATTAGTTATTTAACATTAACAATATTTAACCTATTGAATTATTCGAATTGTATTTCCTATAAAATCATAATTACCATTATTGATATAAAATACGCATCTAAAGTCCCATATACTTCCCTTTAATCTTTTGAACGTTTACCTATAAATTAACGAAATTTTGGATACTTATAGTTATTTATGCAACAAGTGCAAAAAGTAAGTGTTTATTTCACGCGACGTGAAATTGTTGAACAATAGGTCGATTGCAATAAACACTTTTTGCACGAGTTGCATACAATATTTTTTCTACATTCACGCAAAAATCAAAAAAATGTTTTATTTAGGCGACACTAAGTGCAGAAGAATAAAAAGCGTAATTTAATAGCAAAATATTTAATAACTAATAATTAGCATCGATTAACATTGAAAAAGTACTATAACTATGTTAAGAAAAATAATTTAACCAAAACTTTAGGAACGACTGTTATGAACAATAATTAAGCTTAAACGTTGTTTTTGCCACTAATATTAAAAGTAAATGTACAATTTGTACAATTTTCAATATTAATATTTTTTAAAACGTAATACAATCTCAGAGAAAATGAAAATGGACTAAATATTTGGCGTTGATTTGAATATTTATGTTTGTCATGATCATAAAACGCTGTAGTAAAATGGCATATGAGTGCAATAAAATTTTTATTGCACTAGTGCAATAAAGAACCAGTTTTTTCACTAAATATAGTTCAATAAAGTTTTGTTTTTTGCATGAACGTAGAAAAAATAAATTAATATAAACAACTTTTCTACTGGTAACTGATGACTTCACAGTGACATTTAAACAACTAATTTTAAATTTGGTCATTTAGGGACTGGTCCCTCGTTTGAAACGTATTTCAAGAACCAGTTCAATCATATTAATTTGGTTTTAGTTATGAATATAGCCCATTTAAAATTAGTAGTCAAAATAACAATTTGACGTCTTCTTTGATATAGTTCATTGCATAGCCTTTCAGTTGCACGCACGATGAGAGACAATAGGTGTTTCAACTTCCCTAAAATCCCATATAAAAACAAAAGACGATATGGCACCAAACACAACGTAGTTCCAAAAAATTCACCAGAGGTCGTTAAAAGGTGAGGTACCCGATTCGATCATATATTGATCATTAAGAGCTACATAAAACATATTTTAACATCAGCATGTATCAAACTTCATGATTTGGCCATCAGATGATTGGTCAATCATTTGACAGGTTATTATACTAATGTTCACGCAGCATGACATATACTATATTTACGAACAAATATAATTGTATTTTATTTATAACTCTAATAATTTTGCAATAATATTTATTAAAGTTAGTTTAAAGAAATGCTTTTTCCATCATTGTTAAGATCTAGTTATTATCTAGTCTAGTTATTGTTGATCTTAGATATGAATGATGTACCTGTCAAATTTTAATTTAGATATATCAAAAGTTGAATGCGCTAGTTCAGTGTGATGTCATTTTGGTTCCACTGACATTTAATTCTAACCAAACTTTTAACAAAAACATCAATAAATTTGACATATACGTTTTTACTGTTTTTAGTTTATTTCTAAATATTGGTTACAGGTCATAAAAATAGTTGAAAGGTATGTAAATTGGTAACTAAACGATTGTATATTTTATGCATGTTATCTAATTACTTTAGGAATATATTTATATAAGTAAAAAAACGATATAATTTAGGTAAACAAAACGAACAAAACGCACTCAAAAATCTATTGTCAGTGGAAACATAATTACATCATCACTGAACCAGCGCATTGGACAAAGTAGAAATAAAATAATAAAGACGATGGTAATTGCTGTTACAAGCTTTTATATTATTTTGTAGATAAAGAATAGAAACGAATAAAGGTATTTTCAATTTTTTAAAAGTGTATATGTGTACATTTTATTAGAATTAGCAGTTCGACTGTTAAGACATCATCCCTATATTGTTATTATTATATATGTAAACAAGAATGGAATGATTGATAATTTGTTCTTTTTTACATTTATAATGCAAGCTCTTGGCGGATACTAATAAAATTTCCACACTTGAAAAGACCTACCTTTCCTTCGTTTTTCTTTATCAATCTGTGTGTAATTACACCTACAAACCTTTGATTTATTTTGTAAATAATTAAAGTTGTATAAGTTAATGAATCTATTGAAAACAATCCTCTGCGTTTATATTTAATAAAAAGTTTATTACAACACTTATTCATATAGGTAATTAAGATTTACAGATCATTTTTGTACCTACTCTTTTCATCAATTTGCCTTGTAAGAAACACATTTTATTACAATTAGGAGATCCATCCATGTGAAATTGTTTAGGACTGGTAACTAAATAAGCATGTATCTTTGGAATGTGTTTATGAATTATCTAAAATGTGGCAGTTATAATTTTATACCTACTCTTCTGTAAACAACATCAAAATGGTACTTAACACTTATTTTTTCAAAACCCTTTTCAACAATATTTACAATTTTATAGGAAAGAATACACACTATTTTTCTTATTTAATTATTGCTGTCTTTTACACTAAAAATGATGAAAAATAGTAATGTTCTCACTTTCTTTTGATCAAATATATGAGTAGTATGTGGTATAGCATTTTTCTTCTCATTTTCACTTTCCATATCGTTTGTTATATAGAATATTATTAGTAGACATTAATAAATTACCATTATTTAAAACAAAAATTGGATACAGACGTATTTTTTACTCGATTAAGATAAAATTAACTGAATTTTTCTGACAGTTCGCAGTCATTATTTGTTTTCATTTGAGGACTTTAAGGTACTTCATCTTCTACCGACATCTAGTGGATTTTTTACATACTATGCTGTTATTGGTGCCATATTTTAAAAAGAGTTGAAGCACCTGTGAAATGTCATTCACCGGGGTTGCACGTCACCAAATATGACGTAATATCATGTTTTTGGCATGTCTGATTACTACATGAAATTTGATGGCGACGCTACAAAATTTTGACAGTTGTCAGGATGGGATTCAGCCAAATAGGAAAAGGCTTTGAAATTAATAAGAATTGTGATATCAAAACATTACAAAATAAAACAAAATGTGCTATTAATTGATATTTATTATCATAAATAATGTAACAATTGATATTTATTATTATAAATAATGTAACATTAATAATTAAATTCTTAAAATTAGAAAACAACAAGGATCACTTGCCTGATGAAACCTACAATAAGAAATTAGATCTGTTTAAAAAATCACATAAGTTTTATTCGATGAACTAATTACCTTGGAAATCATTGAAATTTAACAAAACTGGTAAAGTTAAACTTATAGAACAACAGCCATTTTTGAATACAATACAATAAACGTTTATTATGCGGGGGTGTCTTCCCACAAGTTCCAATCTGATTCGTTATCCGATTCGTTTAAATCAATGATTACAGGAGAGATATTACTTGCATCAATGCTTTTTGCAGTCTCGCAATATTCAGCAATAATTGTTCTTGCATGGTCTACAAACCTCTTCCATTTTTCTGGTTTAATCTACAATTACATAACAATTATAAACCATAGCCTAAGAAAAAACTTTGCATTAAACCTGTTGAAGAGAGTCGCTCCAAAAACTAATTACAGTATCTGCAATAATACGTTCTGCCGAAGGTATTTTTGCATCGTAATACCGTTTACACTCAAACCAAACAAGTTCAATTGGATTGAACTGACAATGATATGGAGGCAGTCTCAACACACGATGGCCATGCAAAAAACCTAATCTATCTAATCTGTAAAATATGCATTTTTAATATCTTATTAAATTATATCATATCATAAAATATCTGTATACTTTATCTGGTACATGTTTCTTGGTAATTTCTAACAATTCGAACTTCATACTAGGCATTGGAAACTGTATATTCCTTTCTTTTAACCAATTAATCAGAGAAACTTTGTTCCAACTTGCATTTGGTATTCTTTCGAGCAACATTGAATGGTACGACGCATTGTCCATTATTATTAATGACAGTTCTTCTAAGCTTGGTAGAAGCTGATATTCAAACCATCTTTCAAAATTATCAGGATTCATTGAATCATGATAATCGCCAGATTTACTACCACTTTTAAATATCAAGCTATAGTCATTAATAAACCCTTTTTCAAAACCTGCATGAAGAACAATGTATCGTACACCTTCACCACTCTTCTTTCTGACTGCCTTATCGGTACCATCCTGCCAGCTTTTGCGAAATCCTCCTTTGCTGAATATCTAAGTTTCATCAAGATATGCAGGCTTGAGATGATGAGAATCACTCATTTTTTTTTAAATCTCGTAAAAAAACAATTCTTTCGTGTAATATGTGACTGTTCCATGAGATATTTTTTGTTAGAAATGTTACAGCTTATTCACTTGAATTTTAATTCTTTTAAAGCCCTACTGAGTGAAGAAACTGATGTATTTATCCCATATACATCTAATTTTTTCTTCAACTTATAGTCACATGCTCACCTACAATAAAAAAAAATGTTACAAAAAAAATTATTAAAACTAACCCTTGAAAATAAACTCATAATGAACCAGTAAACAAATTTGTGTGTGAAATGGAAACAATAACATTGATGAAGATATTTAGAACCTTATACAATATAACTTATGTATTTAGTAAATACCAACCTTGACTAAACGGCAGTCAATGAAATGCCTGTATTGTGTCAATTGTAGTTGTTTAATATCTACGTGTAGATCTCTCATGATTTTGTTGCGTCACGAAAATTTATAGTGGACGTATCGTTTTTTGCATTTCTTTCAACTTAATGCGATAAAGCGAGATAGATGCCGTATGAAATGAACTATAGCTGTTTTTATTGCTAATAAAGTTCTTTATATCGTACCCTCTACGATTTTCTTCATATCAGTCAAAGTATACCACATATCATGTATTTACGTTGTACAGTTCAAAAGATTACATGTGGGAAGGGAAGGGACTTCAGATATTCACTGTACAAAAAATCTGAAATATTTTATTGTGTAAGTTTTTAATTAATTTTTATTTTAATAAGACTGAAAACATTTCTTCGCATGAAATAGTAATGTACGTTACAAGACAG